GTAACACCCGGCCACCGAAAGCTTTATTTTTGAAGCCTAGGTGGTCGTGTGGTCTAGCGCGTCGGATACAGTGCAGGCGATTTGGTGTCACGATATCTCAGTAGCATAAGTTCGAATCCCGGCGAGGGAAGAACAAAAAATTTGCGAAAGCAAATTTACAGATCTAACATTGTTGGGCTGATGTTTAGCTATATAGGCGAGTTGTATATATATATATATATATATATATATAAACAAGTCTAAATTGAAAACAACGTTCAAACCTACGATTGCGTTGGATAAAAACCGCAATTTTTATACGTGTGCATGTAAAACAAATTTCTTGGTAGAGGGGTCTAAATACAGCACAAACAACATTTTCCAAAAGACCAAATGAGTGAAAAAGTATATTTTAACAAAACGCATTTGACTAGCAGGTCGAACAACTGATGTTCTTGAACCCTGCTGACTGCCATTGGCGATTGCCAGATAAACGGATCACAAGATGTAACAAAATAGATCTTATTATTAATTTATTACCAAACAGAAAACAATAAACTTGCGGAAAAGATGGTATACCGCAAACATGAGGTGCAAAAATTTGTACACCATATCCGGATTTCGACAATTAATGTCTCTTCAGAGATATATATATAGGTGTCACATTCTCATCAGATATTTTCACGGTTTTTCAAATCACGACATAGTCCTGAACATTCATGAAGTATTTGCCACTGGACATTTAGCAACCAATGAATCAAGCAATCAATTCATGACGAGATAGATCAATTTCCTTAAGAAAGTTTAAAAAATCATCACCAAGTTGCCTTAATTTCCCTTCACATGGTTTCATAGTACACACTTTTTTGTGTACAAAGTATTTGCATGGATGATAAATTATCACAATTTTAAGATGGCGTTGTACTCTAATCAAGGTTTAAGGAACCATATGTGTTACTCTTTATTTAAATGAAAGAAACTTGCAATTGTCAAAAACATTTTTAGATCCAAAGATTTTAATAGCAGGATATTTAAAAATCAATGTGAAAACTAATTACAAACTATTTAATTTAATTTGGAACACATCACTTTATTTCAAAATAGACAGTGGCAATTTTTGTTTTAATATCTTGATTACGATACAGTGAAATCTTACCCTTGTGGTCATTCATGCGCAGTTACTTAGTACACGGGAAAAGTATGTACTATGAAAATTAGAAGGCAAATTCAAGCAATTTGATTGGACGAGAAGTTGTAAGTATGTGCTAAGTGATTATATTTCAGTAAATGAGTGTTGGTGTTTGTAATATTCATTCACTCATTTCATAGCTGTTAGTGTTGCTTCATAATCCATGACAGTAATTAATCATCTCTGGTATCGTTTAAATTACCAGGCTTCTCACAACGAAATCAAAGTTGCTCGATTTTATTACGGAACAATTCATAGTAAACATACAAACAAATATATTTCACAGAACAGGATAAAGAATTCAACTAGCAATCACACCAAAATTGTTAGCGACAAATAGGCGACAAGCCATTAGAAGTAAATAAATATAATTAAGCAAAACAGATCAAATACACACTTGAGCTAGCCACACTTAAATAAGCACTACTTTATTGATAAATACATAAAATGATAATTAACAGTTGTAAGCGGCGGGTGGGTGGGTAAATAATTTTCAGCAATAAATTTCAAATGTGCCGTGAATCCCGAAACAAAGAAATATATATATGGGCGTCCTGTATCCAGGTAACATGCTAACCAATCAAAATAAAGAATATATATACTCGGAATAATTTCTTCCGAGTAACAAGTAAACGGTAATTCACGTGGTGAATAATTTTCAACAATAAATTTCAAATGTTCCGCGAATCCCGAAACAAAGAAATATATGTGAGCGTCCTGTATCCAGGTAACATCCTAACCAATAATTTTTTCCGAGTAATATGTAAACAGTGATCCACGTGGTAATTATCATTTTTTTAAAACTCAACAATTTCGATGGAATGGATTCATTCAACATAATCACCAAAATTTGAATTATTTAGTAAGAGGACGTTATAGGGGAACATGAAGTTAAATGGTAATGCTAGTTTATTTTTATTTTTCCTCAAATCTCCTTATGGAGTCGCCCTCATATATATAAAATGACAAGTCAGCAAGAAGTGGAGCACAGTTGGTTTCCCATTGGAATGACAATTGTATGTAGAAATACATGTTCTAAACGCAACAAATATGTTGTCAATCATGTAATCAAACATATTGATAATGTCAGTTTCAGAGAAATATTTGTTTTGTATGAATCAGAGTGGTGTTTTTTTTAAGTATAATTTATCCCTCTAAAAAACAAGATACTTGTATCAACGTTGACCATTCTTTGTTTGTCTTAAAGTAAAATTATGCCTATTCACATACCTTGAAACACACGATAAACAATCAAGATTCTACATTTTCTGATGGCATTTTTATTGTCAATACTCTTGCTAAATTCAAATTGATAAAGCACCGACCATTCATCTTGTGTATGTGCACATGTGTGTGTGTGTGTGTGTGTGTGTGTGTGTGTGTGTGTGTGTGTGTGTGTGTGTGTGTGTGTGTGTGTGTGTGTGTGTGTGTGTGTGTGTGTGTGTGGTGAAAGAGGGGCTGGGGGCATTTAAATGTTTGATTCTAAATCTCTTGTGAAAATATTTCAAAAGGGCAGTTTAAAAATAGGGGGGGATACAACATTGTGTTCCAAAAAAACAAATTCTGGCACATGTAACTATGTTATTTTTTGTTTATCAAAGTTGAAAAGAATCACAAGTCCTAAAAAACTCATGACCCCTTTACAAAAGATGACCGATAAGTGATCGATATCATTTTAAATTCATGATATTTCATTTTTTATGGTAAGCAAAATGTATGATAAAAGAGACCTCTTTCATTTCCTATTGTGGATTTTCCTTTCTATGATGCTCATTCTTATGGATATAAAAATAAGAAGATGTGGTATGATTGCCAATGAGACATCTCTCCACAAGCGACCAAATGACACAGAAATTAACAATTACAGGTCACCGTACGGCCTTCGACCCATACCGCATACTCAGCTATAAAAGGCCCCGAAATAACAAATGTAAAACAATTCAAACGAGAAAACTAATTGCCTGATTTATGTTCAAAATAATGAATGAAAAACAAATATGATATACAGCAAATAGATTTACATATCTCAGCTGTCTCAGATTTCAAAAGACATAACATGTTAAATGGCAATCTGCTTAGGGAGCAACCATTTAACTTCAAGATGGGGTGGGGGGGTGGGGGGTTGTATTTTGGTCGAAGTCATAAATTTTTGGTTTTTATTTTTCGACGCTATCAATCAAATTACACAATATTTATTTTATCAAATTGGGGATCAGAATTTTTTTTTAGGAAAAAACCATAACCCCCCTCCCCTTGAAGTTAAATGGTCGTTCCCTTAAGAATCAGGCAGTGGTAAAAACATGACAAACAAAAGCCCACTCAAGTTTACATTAATCTATGTTCAAAAGGTATAATGGTGCACGAAAATAACATTCGTTTCCTGTTTTTGTTCTGGTAATTCAAGATATCATTTGGTTGAAATGCACTAAAAATTCAAAATTATGGGGAGCTGACTCCGTAATTTTCTATTATTCTAACCAAAAGTTATCTAGAGATTTCTCGAATTACCAGACACGTAGAAACGAAAGACCTACCATTTCTAACTGGGGATGAGGGTAACTTCAAAATAGGATGGTTAGGTCGATGGGTTTTTTTCGGTCATGTTTGAAATTCTTCTACATTGCCTGATTCTTAATAAAAACTGGCACTTAAGAACTAAAAAACTTCAAAGCGATAAATTAGTACTGAAATATCCAAATTGATTATCCTGTTCTGTTTGATCATGTTTTGAACTGTCTATTTTGTAATGACCTTACGGCCCAATATTCATGTATGTCATATTTTATATAAGAATAGTCAGGAACCTCGTCCAATGTCATATTTTGACGAATTTTTTGTTTGTTTGGAGAGTTTAGAGATCAATGATACAATCGGTAATCCTCGGGTTAATCCGTTATTCTCATTCAGATACCCATTTGGTGAACGGAATCGGCCGCGTTCAGACGAATATTTGATACTTTCCGTCTAATTAATTCACATTGACTTAGATTCTGGACGATTTAGTACTTGACATATTGTATGAACATACAGGGGCGTAGGAGGGAGGAGGGGGCTTTGTTCTTGTTTCAACTTTTTGGCCAAAAAAAACAAACACTGACTAACTACTAAAGTATAAAACTATATATAGAATTTTGTTTATATTTTTGTTGCTAGACACTTTGAAAAGCATTCCTCAACATTTGTTTCCGTCTACTCCCATGCCACTGACACATGTTTTTTTTTTATTGGAGACAAGAGATATAATTTAGTATAGATATATTTTATTTGCAAAAGTAGCAAAGGAATTTAACACAATTTTTTGGTTCCTATCTTATTGACCGTATACCCTATATATTCTTTTATTCATAAATTATTTAATAAATACTTCAAACTTATTAAATTTACGAAGTTTCAATACAAAAATCCACACGCTTTGTGAAAGACCTGTCCTACGTCATATATAGCTAACATAGCTTTAGACTTGCGAAATTGTTTTCTATTACATTTAAAGATCAAAGAATAGAATACTGTCTTGTTCAATTGGATTTTGACGTCTATTATTATAGTCTTGTCTCAATTCATGTCAAATGTATACGTGTACATTTAATAGAAAACGTATGTTTACAGTTGTTTAATTTCTTATCCGAATTTGTTTACTCAAATCAAATAATGTTATATTAATCAAAAAATGATCGCGCTTTGTCAATAAATGAACAACCGTTAGCTAGGTTTATTATATACAAGACAGAAAGTTATTGTATTTAGCATTGTTATTCATAACTAGTCGAAAAATCTGTGCCTCTGAAATAAATAAAAAATATTTACATAATGTACAATAATTTCATAAGGAGGCCATGTGACGTAGCATGATTATTTGGTCCTTTACTAGGTTATATCAGAATTTGTGAGAAATTGATAGTCTTGCTGAAGTTGTGCATACCCTAATGAAAAAATGAATGGACATATTGTTTTATCATTTTTGTTGCTTTTATTCCCATCCACTGTTTTTGGTAAGTAGTAAATGTGGTTTAAACAACCGGTAAAATATTTACATGAAAAAACAAGTTTTGTTTAGTTATATTTTCGAGTTATAATTTCATGTTGTACATGTTTGAAATATTTTTACCCGCATCTTGTATGAATAACAGATATTTATTAAAAATTGTACTAAAAGAAAAAATAAATGACATTGTTATTACTTACATTTTAATGAATGGAGTAAAGAAAACGTACTTATTAGCATTAAAATTCCTACTTAGCTTCTTAGGTAAAAAAAAATTAAAATATAAGAAACTACAAAATAATAACATAATTGATTGACCGTTTGATGTCTTTTTGTTGTCTGAAGAATGAGGGGCCTGATGGGTTATTTTCGTTCTTCGTGATCGGCGCACTTTCGCTATCGTGATCCGTTTTTCTACAGATTTATTTTTTTTTTATATTTTCGTGATCCGTGATCATGGAAATTTATTTTCTGTGAATCGTGATTGACAAAAAAATCAACTCGTGATGAGACCCCCCCATCAGGCCTCTCAAGAATAATTGCTGGACACTAAATACACTTCCTTTTATTATGTTTTATATCTGTTGATAATTTGCGTAAGGTGGTGGACATACTTACAAAAGCTTGATAAGCGTAAGTGAAGAGACCGCCATATTTCTCATGTGCCTATCCCAAGACAGGAGTCTGAAGTCAGTATTACGATTCTGTTGTTGTGATCGTCTGATGAAAATCAAAATATCCCGCTTCCCCTCTCTCTCTCTTTCAAAAAAAAAGGAAAAAATAAATAAATTAGATTTTGAAATACATCGACCCCCTTCTTTACCAAAATTAAATTCGTCGCATAGAAAGTTGCATTTATGTACTCATAAAAATATCCTTACCCATAAATGTGCCTGATGTTATCTAAAGAAAAATGTTTAAAAAAAAAAATAAACGTATAAAAATTGCTGACGGCTTGTATCCGATGTCCCATTATTAATTTTTTTGACCAATTTGTTAATTGATGGCGCCTGAACGTCATCTGGCAGATATTTCATGTATATTCAGGACGATTACGTATTAATTTTGTTGAATATATCCCATTTTTTACTAGAACGACATTATATTTGTACGTTAAACTTGCTATCCACAAGCTGCAATCAACAGAAAGATATGTCATCCTACACAGACATGTACATTAGTCTGACGCCGAAATGTCTCTGCTCTTTCGCTTAACTTAAGTATTCATGGCAAAGCTGCAGCATCGGATGTACTAATTTTAAAGTCTTTGAATTTACAAAGACAGTGGTCGAAGCAATAATATCCCACACATGAAACATGCACGTTATAATGACACAAGGATTTCAGATAAAATTGAGAATGAAAATGGGGAATGTGTCAAAGAGACAATAACCCAACCAAAGAGCAGAATATGTTGTATTATGTAAAAATAAGGAGATGTGGTATGATTGCCAATAAAACAACTATCCACCAAGTTCAAATTAAATAGATGTAAGCAATTTGTGTTTATTATAGAACCGAAACAAGCGTAAGTGAAGAGACCGCCATATTTCTCATGTGCCTGTCCGAAGACAGGAGTCTGTAGTTCAGTTGTTGCCGTTGGTTCATGTCTGTCATATTTGTTTTTTTATGAATTCTTTTTTATCATAAATGTGGGCGTTTGTTTTCTCTTCTGAATTGTTTCACATTTTTCATGTCGGGGCCTTTTACAGCCGACTATACGTTAAGGGGTTTTCTCATTGTTGAAGGTAGTACAGTGACCTATAAATGATTATATCTATTTATTTTAAACTGAAGCTAGTAGTTGTCACTGTTGCAATCGTACCACACTTTTTATTCATATTATAATTATCTATCAATTTCACAAAAAAAAAGTTCGAGAAAAAATACTCTTTTAAAAGTCATAAACAACTTTTGTCTTAAGATTTCTTTATGAAAAGAGCCATACTTTCTGTTTGATTTAAGTTGTTGCTGTGTAAATTGTTTAAAGTAATCCAAAACTTTTGATCACTTTCGTAGCTAATGAAAGGTATTTTCAAAACAAGCGATGTGCGCGGTATCTTAATATGTTTATATTTGTAACACTACTACTGGTTCGGCTATGTTCGGACTGCTAGTTACCGCATAGTAGCAGATGGTGCCGTCGAGATTTAAGTGATAGATTCTCATTGTGTATTTCAACTAAAGAGGGATAGAATATATAATGCAAGATCAAATAAAAAATTCATACATTGAAAAAAAAACCTGACAATTGAACACCTTGGCCAAAATAGAAATTATAGACAAAGAACAAATCCTAAATCACTGTTAACTAAAGATTGATCATCACCAACATTACAAGAAAAACTGCGAATGAAATGATATGCTACGGAATGATAACCTTTCTGAAAGACCATCAAAGATGAAAAATAGAGTAGATGTACATGTACCCAATGCGGTGATTTATAATGTATGAATATCTATTACAGATACTATTTATCAATAAGGAGATGTGGTATGAGTGCCAATGAGACAACTCTCCATCCAAGTCACAATGTGTAAAAAGTAAACAATTATAGGTTAAAGTACGGCCTTCAACACGGAGCATTGTCTCATACCGAACAGCAAGCTATAAAGGGCCCCAAAATGACCAGTGTTAAACAATTCAAACAGGAAAATCTGTATTGTTAGGGCTATGAAATGGTTTTTTGGCGCATTATAAAATATGATTTGTGACGCAAATCAAATATTGTTTTGGCGCAAATAAATAACCAATTGACGCAAAAGCAAAGCACCGGATTTATTTGTATTCTACCATATACTATAAAATAATGAGCCTCCTCATGGGGTTTTTGATTATGCGATTATTTGGCCTTTTTATAGTGATTATTTGATTACCAGACCAAATATTTCATGATTATTTGATCATTTGATAATCTAGGACTGTATTTTTGATTATTTGATTATGTTGTTTGAAAAAATAATTAATCATTATGTGATTATATTGGCAAAACATTTGTGATTATGTGATTACTTAGACACCCAAATGAAGGGCCTCAATAATACACAGCGTTACTGACTTAAAAACACAAATTTAATTACCGGTATATGTTTGTCTTTTCTCTACCACGGTTTTCAACATGTGGAATAGTATAGCGATGTTTGGGATTTTAGTAAATTAGTTTGTCTAAAGAAATTATTTAATTTCATACATTGTATACCGTGTTTTGAATTGCCATCAATTTCATAATTTATTTAATGGCATTGTTCTTCTTTACTACTGTATTTCAAAGTCTTAACGAAACATTTGTAAAAGCCGAGGATTTAGTTCATCCGAATCGCTTTTCAGAAAAAAATCAGAATATGAGCAATGAAAAACAAAACAAAAACATATTTACGCTTTTAAAATTTTCAGGTTATGGAATCTGTAAATAACATCTTCTTATTTCATTGGTGTTAGTTGCAGCAAAGCTAAACACAAATTTGATAATATTTAAGAACCGAAAGTGTTTAATCATTTTACATTTTGATGGGAACTAATCAGAGAAATTAAATGTACGAATAAAGCAGATGTAGCGTTGAAAATAAGCAGGGAAGACCCAATGACGAAAGCAGTGTTCACAACAAAACGTCGCCCCCTAAAAAATATATATAAAATGAATATATTTAAGAAGCAATTAGCAATAATAATAAAAAAAAAAAAAGAAAAAGAAACAAAATGAAATAAAGTAAAACATTAAAACAAAATTGTATTATTGATTGCAGTGTAACGATATTGGTAAGTAGGAATAAATGGATATGCGGGACAGCAACCCAAAGACAAGCATAACCAAAACACATCAACATGCATGCACATGACTTTTCACAAGTACATCAAACTGACATCATAAACAGCTAAGGTAACCAAAGAACAAGTTCTTTTTTCTTACAAAAATATAAACTAGTCGGGTTGTTGTCTCTTTTACACATTCCCCGTTTCCATACTCATTCCCCGTGTCCATACTCAATTTTAGTACTACATGCAAAGACAATTATGTTTTTAAAATCATGTTTATTTATTCTACGTACTTGGTCAGATTTATCTAATCTAAATATTGGTATTTGATTTGTCAAAGATAAATATTTGTATATACATCTTACCAAAGGGTAAAACAGTTCAAATTGATATTCAACAGACTATTGTGTTCACGTTCTTTGTTCCTCTGTTATCGTCGTCAAAACTCTTAAACTTTGATAGTTGTCGTTTAATACATGAACAGAATAAATATACATGTATATAAGGATACTACTATCCTATTTCATTTCGTGAACACAAACTGATTCAAAAGTCTTTTCTATTTAATGTTGAATTCACTGCTTTGTTCATAAGATATATTATATGAAATTGACAAAGTGTATATGAAATTGACAAAGTGTATAATTATGAAATTAATATAATGGTAAAAAATCAGCAAAAATCACAATTGAATTTTAAACGTATACAATTAAAACTTCTTTAGTTCATTTGTACTTGTTCAATTCAAACATTACATTTGATTATTAAACATGACTTTTAAATCATACTTATTATAATAAAATAGAATTGCAACTCCCTTAGGTAGATAAGAATAAGAAGATGCGGTATTGTTGCCAAGGAGACAACTATCCACCATAGACTTCAGGACAATGATGTGAATAACTGAACCAACTTAAGGCAGTTCAAAATTAGCCAAATCTATACAGTATAGAAAAATTATAAAAAGCCCCGGATAACCAAAAAAAAAAAAAATAGAAACAATTCAAAAGAGAAAAACCAAATGTCTGAACGTATTTGAAGATATGTTATGTAGTACAGAAAAGGGCGGAGATCATCATTTTTACATGCCTTAATTTCCATTCTCAGTTTTCAGGAAGGTCAGCAGCTGTTTCATTATTAAATTAACAAAGGAATACAACAAATAATAGTTTGAGTTTTCATTTCTTTTTCTTTGGTCAAAGGTTATCAACTGATAAATTTAGATTTTTGTCGCGATTTGGTTATTTTCTTGGGGGGGGGGGGGGGGGGGGGTCATAGTAAAAGACACAAGATTTGATAACTCCCCGAAAAATATCGATTTAAAGGAACACGATTCCATTTCAAGTATCATAACTTTCGAGATAAAAAAATATTATGTCTCAAAAGTTCCAATGGAAACTTAAAATACTTATCACGATGGTTTACTGGGTTGATAGAAATGCGGCCATTCCTGAGCTTCTCCCGTCCGCCATACAAAGATAAGATTGACTTAGTGTTTTAACATATTAAACTTTAATTGTAAGACTTTCATTTTGTCATTACAGCTCTGATAATAAACTTCAGTGGTGGAATAATAACAAAATTAATATCCGAAGATGCGACTGATGAAACCCAACTAACATTGATGACCTTGTCAGGGGTTACGGCGGGTCAAACCCCATCATGTGACCTGAATCCTTCTCAAACGGAATTCTGGGTGAAATTGGACCCAAACACTGCACGTAAGTAATATAAATCTTATTACAAAATTCGATTTCCCTCTCTTGAATTCCGATATATCTTTTTCTGTTGGGAAGTATTTAATTACATTTTTATGGATAAGCACGAAATTTGCATGGATTTGTCTCTATTCATTTCATTTTATAGAATACGGTTAATAAAAAAGTTTTAAATACAATACTATGGAATGCTTATAAAGAAAAAAAAATGTTGAAATATTTCTGTACTGGCTATGAAAAAGATGCTTGAGAGAAAACAAACCCTTGTGTAAACTATGAGTTTGAAAAGGAAAAGGCAATGAATAGGTATTCGAGTTTAGATCACGTGGTTTAGATATACATTTTTATAGATTTTATACAAGGCATTTATCATCTTTACATTAAGAAGTCTTCAACGAGGAGCTGATTAACTTTTAAAAATTCAAGGATAAACAATGAAATATTCATGAATATGAAATCTTTATAATAAATACGAAAAAGGTAATACACCAATTAGTGCAATAAATCAGAAACAATCAATCAACATTGTCTCATATTAACGATGAACGTGCAAACATTATAAGCCGGGGTCAGACAATCGTAAGACTGACGCTTAAATATATGCAGTATATACTTTTCAAGATTAAACTAATGTTTAAGCAATTGTCTTCTATGTTCAATAAATCAATTGATGTGTAACTGTATTTTATATAACATATACTTTTTAACAAATACATTTACCTTGTTTCGAAGCGGTTGCAAAAGTTTACTATTTGTAGAATATGGAGTGTATCTGAAAGCAATGCCAAGCCTAGATTTCAACACAAAGTCGACTTATAGTCTGGTTGTGGAGTGTACGGATGGAGTTAGCACAACTCAAGAAACTTTTACAGTGAACATTGACAAGAACAAATCTCCTACCATATCTAACCTCCATAGTGAGTAAATACCTTCCAACCATATCAAACCTTCATAGTGAGTAAATACCCTCCAACCATATCAGACCTTTAAAGTGAGTAAATACTCTACTATCATATCGAACCTTCAAAGTGAGTAAATACCATACTACCATATCGAACCTTCATATTGAAAAGATATCCTACTATCATATCGAACCTTCATAGTGAGTAAATTCCATTCTACCATATCGAACCTTCATATTGAAAAGATATCCTACTATCATATCGAACCTTCATAGTGAGTAAATTCCATTCTACCATATCAAACCTTCATAATGAGTAAATACCATCCTACCATATCAAACCTTCATAGTGAGTAAATACCATTCTACCATATTAAACCTTCATAGTGAATAAATACCATCCTACCATATCAAACCTTCATAGTGAGTAAATACCATCCTACCATACCAGACCTTTAAAGTGCGTAAATACTTTACTATCACATCGAACCTTCAAAGTGAGTAAACACCATACTACCATATCGAACCTTCATATTGAAAAATATCCTACTATCATATCGAACCTTCATAGTGAGTAAATTCCATTCTACCATATCGAACCTTCATAGTGAGTAAATACCTTCCTACCATATCAAACCTTCATAGTAAGTAATTACTCTACTACCATATCGAACCTTCATATTGAGTAAATACTATCATATTGAACATTCAAAGTGAGTAAATACCCTATTACCATATCAGACCTCTATAGTGAGTTAATACTCTCCTACCATATCGGTCCTCCATAGTGAGAAAATACCATCCTACCATATTGATCCTCCATAGTGAGTATATATCCTCCTACCATATCAAACCTCCATAGTGAGTAAAACACTCCTACCATATCAAACCTTCATAGTGAGTTAATACCCTCCTACCATATCGAACCTTCATAGTGAGTAAAAACCCTCCTACCATATCGAACCTTTAAAGTGAGTAAATACCATCCTACCACATCGAAACTTCATAGTGAGTAAATACCATCCTACCAAATCAATCCTTCATAGTGAGTAAATACCATCCTACCAAATCAAACCTTCAAAGTGAGTAAATACATCCTACCAAATCAAACCTTCATAGTGAGTAAATACCATCCTACCAAATCAAACCTTCATAGTGAGTAAATAACCTCCTACCGTATCGAACCTTCATAGTGAGTAAATACCATCCTACCATATTGAAGCTTCATAGTGAGTAAATACCATCATACCATATCAGACCTTTATAGTAAGTAAATAAATACTTTCCTACCATATCGAACCTTCATAGTGAGTAAATACCCCGCCACGTCCGATCTATGTTTTCATTAGATGTTTTCTGCTTTATATTGATCTGCTGAGTCAACTGCTTTTTATGTTTTGTTCTTATGTAGTACCGTTACACCACTGTCGCAAGTTAAGGGGGAAAGTTTAGCGCCAGCAAACTAGTTCAACCTCGCCCCATTCTGTGTGTAGTGGTTATTGTTGGTTCATGTCTGTCATATTTATTTTTCGTTGATTATTTTGTCAGAAATTATGCCGTTAGTTTTAGTTTTTGAAATGAATTGAATTGCTTATATTTTTCATGTCAGGCCTTTTTAACCGACTATACGTATGGGTTTTTCTCATCGTTGAAGGCCGTATGGTTGCCTATAATTGATTACATCTACTTCATTTGAACTGTGCTGGATAGTTGTCTCATGGGGTATCATACTACATCTACTTCATTTGAACTGTGCTGGATAGTTGTCTCAATGGGTATCATACTACATCTACTTCATTTGAACTGTGCTGGATAGTTGTCTCATAGGGTATCATACTACATCTACTTCATTTGAACTGTGCTGAATAGTTGTCTCATGGGGTATCATACTACATCTACTTCGTTTGAACTGTGCTGGGTAGTGGGTAGTTGTCTCATGGGGTATCATATTACATCTACTTTGTTTGAACTGTGCTGGATAGTTGTCTCAATGGGTATCATACTACATCTACTTCATTTGAACTGTGCTGGATAGTTGTCTCATGGGGTATCATACTACATCTACTTCATTTGAACTGTGCTGGATAGTTGTCTCATGGGGTATCATATTAACTCTACTTCATTTGAACTGTGCTGGATAGTTGTCTCATGGGGTATCATACTACATCTACTTCATTTGAACTGGCTGGATAGTTGTCTTAATGGGTATCATACTACATCTACTTCATTTGAACTGTGCTGGATAGTTGTCTCATGGGGTATCATACTACATCTACTTCATTTGAACTGTGCTGGATAGTTGTCTCATGGGGTATCATACTACATCTACTTCATTTGAACTGTGCTGGATAGTTGTCTCATAGGGTATCATACTACATCTACTTTATTTGAACTGTGCTGGATAGTTGTCTAATAGGGTATCATACTACATCTACTTCATTTGAACTGTGCTTGGTAGTTGTCTCATGGGGTATCATACTACATCTACTTCATTTGAACTGTGCTGGATAAGTTGTCTCATTGGGTATCATACTACATCTACTTCATTTGAACTGTGGTGGATAGTTGTCTCAATGGGTATCATACTACATCTACTTCATTTGAACTGTGCTGGATAGTTGTCTCATGGGAAATCATACTACATCTACTTCATTTGAACTGTGCTGGATAGTTGTCTCAATGGGTATCATACTACATCTACTTCATTTGAACTGTGCTGGATAGTTGTCTCATGGGGTATCATACTACATCTACTTCATTTGAACTGTGCTGGATAGTTGTCTCATGGGGTATCATACTACATCTACTTCATTTGAACTGTGCTGGGTAGTTGTCTCATGGGGTATCATACTACATCTACTTCATTTGAACTGTGCTGGATAGTTGTCTCATGGGGTATCATACTACATCTACTTCATTTGAACTGTGCTGGATAGTTGTCTCATGGGGTATCATACTACATCTACTTCATTTGAACTGTGCTGGATAGTTGTCTCATGGGGTATCATACTACATCTACTTCATTTGAACTGTGCTGGATAGTTGTCTCATGGGGTATCATACTACATCTACTTCATTTGAACTGTGCTGGATAGTTGTCTCATGGGGTATCATACTACATCTACTTCATTTGAACTGTGCTGGGTAGTTGTCTCATGGGGTATCATACTACATCTACTTCATTTGAACTGTGCTGGGTAGTTGTCTCATGAGGTATCATACTACATCTACTTCATTTGAACTGTGCTGGATAGTTGTCTCATGAGGTATCATACTACATCTACTTCATTTGAACTGTGCTGGATAGTTGTCTCATGGGGTATCATACTACATCTACTTCATTTGAACTGTGCTGGATAGTTGTCTCAATGGGTATCATACTACATCTACTTCATTTGAACTGTGCTGGATAGTTGTCTCATTGGGTATCATACTACATCTACTTCATTTGAACTGTGCTAGATAGTTGTCTCATGGGGTATCATACTACATCTACTTCATTTGAACTGTGCTGGATAGTTGTGTCATGGGGTATCATAATACATCTACTTCATTTGAACTGGCTGGATAGTTGTCTCAATGGGTATCATACTACATCTACTTCATTTGAACTGTGCTGGATAGTTGTCTCATGGGGTATCATACTACATCTACTTCATTTGAACTGTGCTGGATAGTTGTCTCATGGGGTATCATACTACATCTTCTTATTTTTATAAATACCATCCTACCATATCAAACCTTCAAATAGAAAAAAATGTTCTTCCATATCAAACCTCCATAGTGAGAAAATGGCCTACGACCATATCAAACTGTCAAATTGAGAAAATGTTCTACCACATCAAACCCCCATAGTAAAAAAATTCCCTCCAACAACATCAAACCTTCAAATTGAGAAGATAACATTCTACCATATCGAACCTTCATAGTGAGTATGGCACGTCCTACAATATCAAACTGCCAAATTGAGAAATTTGAAAGAAAATACGTTAAGCAAATTAAAACCAGAGAAGGCCTACTTATGTGATACCTATCATTATCTTCACAGACTACACCACCTTAGATACTTCTACGACATCAACTGGTACATTGGTCTTTACAGCGTTAGCAACAGACCCAGAAAATGACCAACTGACATTAACAATGGACTGTTATGTCCTTAGTAGTCTTGCAACATGTCCATATGAAATTTTCGATTGTAAGTATTCTTAATGAATAGGAAGTAATTCATTTTTGTTGACTGTATGAAATAAAAAAAGTATTAAGTACATTTTTTTTCTGATTTTGTTTTTTTTTTCCATAGCGCTGTCAGTTTGTCTTCGGTTTATGGGTTAATTTAAACATCCCTTAATTTGGTATCATTCTCCTCTTTTTCATAAAATAAAGCATCGCTTTTAAAAGTAACGTTACTTATGATTTGTTATTTCTATGACATAACATATCAAACACTTTTGGTATTGTGTTCACAAGGTTTCGTGATTTCGTGAGATGAAACCGGACACCGAATATACTATCGCAGAACTGAATTAAATGCATAACAAATAAAGCAAACGACTAAGAGTTGTAGTTCTTTGTCTCTTGTTACCAGATTAAATTTCTAGTTACTACACAAAAATAAAAACCCTCACTAAATTCTACTTTTCTCGGTGATCTCAAATTTGTATTGTTTGCTTTCCATTTTTGTTTTATAATGACTTCATCATTTTAGCTGGAGAGATAGTGACTACGAGTGGTTTCCTTGGTTACAGCGTAGGAAACTATGATTTAAGAATTACAGTAGCAGACAGCCATAACAATCAAATTGGACCGCTCTCATTGACCGTTACCGTCACAGGTTAGTATAATAGTGCACGAGACAAAAAATATAACCAAACGAGGTGCTTTTGGACCAATAGTTTACAGTGGCATTATCTGTCAAATAATCCATGTGCGGCCATGATCAGGATGTGAAACAAAATTTCCAGATGCCCAAAACGATACTCACCATTATACTGATTATATTGTTGGCTTAATGGTAATTTGTTTTCACTTAGTATTAATACTGTTTAAATATCGTTTACAAAATTCGGAAACAGTGTTCCACTAGCATTTGACTATTGCTTTTGAACGTCCAGCGAGTAATATTTCATGCAGACAAGACTTCTATTATATTTACCAGAACCAACTAGCCTAAATCGTTCTAACATGATAACTAATCATTTAAACATCCATATTTTTTTGGATTGCGCAAGCTAGTATGGCATTTGCCTCATTTTTTTCAGCTCCATCCTTTCAAATTTAGCTTAGACAAGAAAATAAAACAATTTTTGATTGTCTTATGATAGGCGCGATGCCTTTTAATCACGTGATAAATTGTAGCTGGCTCACAATTTTTTTTCAGCAAATCAAATAGCATTGTTGTTTTTTTAAATTTTGTTTTATTTTAAGGTTTAAATACAGCACCTGTTATAGACAACAACATCCTGTCATATGTTCCAGTTGTTTTGGAGAACAGTGCGTTAGGGTCATCTGTGTACCAAGTGACAATAACAGATCCGGATGTTGGTGACGTACACACATATTCAGCAACGTTTACACCATCAACTGCTTCCAATTACTTTTCTATCGATTCTTCAAGTATGTTGTATAAGTTTTAAAACCTAAAGCCCTACCTTTCAAAAACAAATTAGGAATCAGTACAACAATCAGCTAGTGATAACTATAAAGTACATAATTCATGACATGACCTCGGAAACAGCACATCTATACTGCTAAAACAACGAATTCCATTCTTTTGATCGTCTTGACATAACATTGAGAAAATATATTTATATTAAATTCACGTTATACAGTTGTGTACTCGGTACATTTCAGCCTTCAAGATCCCTTCATATTCAAATCGCAAGTAGGTTTGAGGGTCTGTATGGGGAAAGAATAGAGAATAATTGGCAAAACATATAACGAATAGAGAAAAATGACATAAATAATCTAGAATGCAGAAATTAAGGCCCCCTTTCAGACCCTCATGTATAATTATTACTGATAACTTTGTCTTAAATACTTACTCGGGGCCTTCAATCGGCTTAAATTCAAGGAAAAAATAGGTCATAGTTGCTTCATTCTTAACTTTCCGAATTACATGATAGCTATTAAAATAATATGCACAACAGCTTAACTCAGAAAGATACTAGTATCTTGTCACTATGATAGCTCATCACTAAATGTCTAATACAATGATTGTGGTGTTAGTGAAATATCATTTTTTTATTGGTAAGGCTGGTACTATTATCTAGTTTAACAACAAATCTGCATTTAGTAACGATTTCAGTAAAACATGTCGACTACTAATTACATAGATACAATGTATGAACTTACGTTATGAATTATATTTTATTTTCCAGTAAAGGCGCCTATCACATAACATTTTTACAAATGATATTTAAACGATGAATTCATGTTTATTGTAAGATAAGATTCTGGCAAAGTTTATTTTTGTAATTTTGATAGAAATATTTTGTCATAGAATAATGAACTTCTGAATGAACTTAATTTTTATTGTGTAAACTATTTTGCAGCTGGTTTGGTGAGTACATCTACTACAACAAACATTGATTATGACACGATGTCGTTTAGTTCCTGTACAGCAGAAGTCACAGTTTCGGACGGTTCAGCTTCAGATACGAAAACACTAACAATAAATATCGCTAATGTGTTTGAGGCGCCATCATTTGCCAAGACTATTTACACCTTGAGTGGACCAGAAGCAGCGGTAAGGTTAATGATATTACTACGCATCAACAATAGGTTATTTTCATATTACCGACTTTTTTTCCAGAATATATAATTTCTCGACATGTTACCTTCTCTGTGGAAGGACATTCTGGTACTCGGTCAAATAAGAGCAAGTAACAGAAATAAAATCATGCTTACAATCGGTGATGATTTAGGGAAAATTAACTGTTTTCCGATGATTTTTCGTGTATAAAACATAAAACAGTTAATTTTTCCACAAAGTACACCGACCGTAAGCTTTTTTTTACTTCTTTTACTTGCTCTGTACACCAAAATACGATGTTACGGATCCAGATGGCGATTCTGTGACTTATGGAGTTGATTGTCCATCTTTTAACATAAATCCAACTATAAGGGAGGTTACTTTTTCTACTTTATATTTTTCTTTGTGTTTTTTAGACAGGAACAAGCTCTGGTACACCAAAGTACGATGTTACGGATCCAGATGGCGATTTTGTGACGTATGGAGTTGATTGTCCAACTTTTAACATAAATCCAACTATAAGGGAGGTTCCTTTTTCTACTTTATATTTCTCTTTGTGTTTTATAGGCAGGAACAAGCTTTGGCACACCAAAGTACGATGTGACGGATCCAGATGGCGATTCTGTGACGTATGGAGTTGATTGTCCAACTTTTAACATAAATCCAACCACAGGGGAGGTTACTCTTTCTATAAACTATGATCGCGACGACACATCTGTTGCATCATCTGTGACGTGTGGCGTTACTGTTACTGATGGTACAATGACGTCAACTGCTGTACTTGAAGTACTGATTTATACAATAAATGACAACAGTCCAAAATTTACGCAGAACAGTTTCGAATTTCACATTTCACCTTATGACACCATAGGAACCATTTTGGGGACTGTAACTGCTACTGACGCCGACATTGGTTCCCATGGTAAGTACTCATAGACATTTGTTCAATCCGGATACGTTTTGAAATTACACAACTTTTTCATGACTTCACACAAACCTGTTTAAACAATGTACTGTACTGTGCATATGATTTCAAAGAGACAATGTCTAAACAATCGTAAACACTTCAAACAAAGCGTTATCATAAATTCAAAATGTTTGCTTTCTAAACTTTTCTCTCTCTCTCAACTCATTACTGATGACCTTTGTATTGCAACACTTGACTCCAACCGGAAGTTGTATAAAGCGATGAGGTGTATCAAAATACAATGGGGAAATATAATAGACTGTTGCTATGATGTATGCTATAATTGGTTTTCATGCCAACATGGTTCGAATAAAGAAACTATTATTTGGACCATTAAGGTGGTACCAAACACCTCGACTAAAATTAATTTGGCTCGTTTAATTTTCATAAAGTTTTGACAAAATATTAACTTTGACCCTTTGACAAAAATATAAAAATTTCAAAAAACTTGAACCACAAACTTTATTGGAAAAAATTCATTTGATATATAGTAGTTTGACAAACACTAATTTTGATCATTGAGAAGCTTAATATTTCCTTTACAATAGAACGTGATTAAAACGTTCAGATGATTTTTACAGAGTTATCTCCCTGTAGTGTTATGTACCACCTTAATAATGCTTATTTCAGTTCTTACAATAACACCAATGGTACCAATTTTACTGCACCAAATTCGCATTTCGACAATGAATGCCTTTTTTATAGTGAAGCTTTGGGCCAAATTATTTGAAAACCAAAACTTACATTAACGCTGAAGAGATGATCTAACCAAAGAGAAACTAAATTGTAGCCAAATTCGGATAAGACAAAGAGAGATATATTCCTTAATTTCAAATAATAAAAAAAAGTCTATAACCGTTACAGCAAATTTCATTCAAACAATATCTGAAGTACTGGCTACTGAACTGGTGATACCTTGGGGACTTACTGTACAGTCCACTAGCAGATGTATCGACCAGTGGTTGTAATGTCATCAGCGGTACCAATTTTTCAACACCAGATGCGGATTTCGACAATGAATGTTTCTCTAATGATATACTGAAAAACTGATATTTGGCGGAAAATTTAAGAAATTGGTGTATTAAAAAATATTCCAGTGGTATAAACTGGTTTAAGCAAGAGGCATTACATTGCATGACTAATATTAACCATTCGTATTGTAGAATTTTCTGACATTGACGAGACAGGCGTATCCTGTACAAAAAATCGCGGGAAAAAGTGCAATAATTGAAATAACTGACAACTTTCTACACATATAAATAAAAAAGGTTGGAGAAGATAACAAAAAGACAACCAAAACCCGTTTATCAGGAGGATGTGGATTATACATAAAAAAGAAAACAAACAAATGACAACTGGAGGGCAGCATAATAGCCTACCATTTTCTGTTTTTGAGCTTTTAGTGTTTTGAGTTTTAATAACTAATGGTATCTGATTTTAGTGGTTGTAGCTTAGACCTTTTTTTTTTTGTTGTATTTAGTCTAGTAAAAAATTGGCATCATTAATTTTGCCAGGAATGTTACTGCCATTTTTGCAAATAGTTTGGTATCTCCGAAATACCATTTAAAAAACCAATGGTGAAGTTAAAGGGACTAGTAGTTACATTTCTGAGGCGAAACAGTGTTTATAAACATTAGTCAATCATAAGCATGATCATGGAATTAATTTTGTTACGAGTTACTCATGAATCTAAAGCGGTTCAACAAATTTTAAATATATTACCAAGTTTATTGATTCCTTTATCATTATTTTCGAAGGTGTTGTTTCGTATGAAGTTAGAAGTGGAACTTTCTCTAATTACCTTGGTATCGACACATCCGGGAACCTGTATCTTAAGCAAGCGGTAAATGACACTATTGCTGGAACTACTGTATCTGTTAACTTACGGGCTTACGATGAAGATGGCAAAAGGGATTTTGTAAATGTAGATTTTGTAATACAGGCGACAACTACTACATCGATTACGACGACAACCGACAGAAATTTGACATTCTTTGAGTCATCAGCAAATGTGGCCTGGTTCTCAGCTCTGATGATAATCTTACTAGGGCTGGGTATATTCCTTGCTATCGAAGCTTATCGGTCGCACATATTTTTCAAAATATGTTCATCCTGCAACGAGTGTAAACTTCCAAAGCGCAGGTATATTTTTTGTTACAAGAGTTCGTAACTTTTTTTTATATGGAATAAATCTTTTATACTTGTGTCATCACCGGAAAATGTTTTTAGATCGGCTATTTTCATATTACCAACTTTTGATTCCGGAGTTTATAATTTTTCGATCTGTTCCCTACTCTGTGATAGACCATTCTGGTACTGCGTAAAGGTAGATCTACTAAAAGAAGTAAAATCAAACGTTCAATCGGTGCAATTTGGAAAATAAATACCTGATTTATGTTTTCTATTCAAGCGAAAATCATCGGAAAACAGTTAATTGATTCACCAAATTGTACCAATTGTGAGCTGGATATTTTACTTCTTTAGGTTGCTCTTACTTGCTCTTCCATTCCAGTTTGTTCCGTTGGTTGATAAAGTCTAACATTCAATTTCGTCAGCTTTTATGGACTTCTCCTTTTTAAATTTACCTTGGAGTTCAGTATTTTTGTTACAGTCACTATAATGGTTTACTTTTATAAATTTTGACTTGGATGGAGAGTTGTCTCATTGGCACTCATACCACATCTTCGTATATCTAATTATTGAGAGAGTACCTTAATGTCCACCACAGAGTAACCGATCGAAAAATTATATTCTCCGGAGTCAAAAGTCAGTAATATAAAAATAGTCTATAATTTAAATAAAAGTAAATGAGATTGATTGTCGACAGTCACGTGCCAATTAAAAGTCAAAGTACAAATATGTTTTCTAGCAGACAAGGTGAATTTATTTGACAAAATAACAACTTATCTATTCTATGAATTCAAAATAAAATTATGAAATATATAGAAATTCTTAAAAAATATGGAAGAACGCATGATTTTTTTGACGGAAACAAAAACACAAACTGATTCCTTTTATTTCAAGCGACATATAGTTGGGATCAGTACTAATCTGTCTTTCCAACCGTCAGAAAAAATCTGTCATATACAGGGGGATCCAGCTATTTTTAAGAAGGAGGGGTTCCAACCATATTTCCCTATTCAAAAGAATTGATCGTCAAAAAAGGGGGGAGTTCCAATAACCGGAATCCCACTTTGATCCGCCACTGACATATTTGCCTTTAACAGTTCTACTCTAAAACTGGTCCACGGTAGTACTACCAGAATCAGTCCGACGGTAGAACTGTCCGAAATTGTTTAAGGTAGAACTGTTCAAAACCTTTCTATGCTTGAAATGTCAGGATCAGTGAATATATTACCTTAGCTGTATAGGCAACACGTTTAGGAATTTGTGGTACTCAATTCTCTTCAATTTCGTACTTTGTTTGGCCTTTTAAACTTTTTTGATTCGAGCGTCACTGATGAGTCTTTTTTAGACGAAACCCGCGTCTGGCGTACACAATTTCAATCCTGGTATCTATGATGAGTTCATTTCTAGGTGAGAACTTTCAATATAAAATAAGATGTGGTATGATTGCCAAAGAGACAACTATCTAACAGAGTCCACATGAAGTACACTTAAGCAACTACAGGTCAACGTCCGCCCTATTACAATGAGCAAAAACCATAGTATAGGCAGCTATAAAGAGTCTCGGCATGTCAAAATGTGAAACAATTGAATAGGGAAAAACCCCTTCATGATGAAAATTAACGAAAAACTGATAAACTAAAAACAAATATGACAGACAGCAACCAACGACACCTACTGAATAACAGGCTCCATGCTTGGGACAGGCACAAATCTGTTCTGGGGTAGAACAGCTGTAAATGACATAAATTAGAGCAAACCTCTGTTTATGATTTAAAACAGTTCTGGTTGATGCAGAACCATTCAGTTATTACCATTATCATTGTAGAAAGTTCAGTCTTGACAATGACCTAGATGAAAGTGACGGTAAGTTCTAGTTTAATTTATTTATTCATTAAGTTTTGGTTTCGAGCCCATCTGAATAATATGCAGATCCTCTGTCCACACGTTCTCGCCACGACTTAATTTACGTGTTGGACATAGTTGTTATACGTGCAATGCATCTGTATAAGGTTATCTTGGTGATGAAACATAGTTATAATTGTCTTCATTTTACCAAAATATTAAGATGTGTCACGCTTTGTTTATTGATATGATTATCTTTTCTTTCAAATAATCTTCATTTAGTATGAAATATGAGAAGAGATTTTTGGTACGGAAAAATACTGCATTGTCATATTGATTTGTAGTTGTCTGAAAGTCTGAGTTGTGCAAGACACAAATGTCGAAATGATTAGGATGCTAACATTGAAAAAGAGGCAGTGATTACCAAGGGAACAGAAATAAAAAAAGTCAAAGAAAAAAAAATCATCGAAGATCCCAGACAACACCATGAGGGTGTGGATGTGGGTTTACAGAATAGAGAATATTGGGGGGAAAATATAAAGAATAGAGAAAAAATGACCAAATAAATAAAAAAATAGAGAATATAAATGAGGTGCTAAAATATAAAGAATAGAGAATAATGGGCAAAAAGTATAAAGAATAAAGAAAAGTGGCCTAAAAGAATAAAGAATACAGAAATGAAGGACCCCCTATCCAAACCCTCATACCATGATAAAAAGAAAAAAATCCATCTGTTACAATCAAAACGCAAGACTGACCAGTACCAGTATCTCGACTAATATATGATACAAACTTAATTCCGTTTACATTTACCTCATTGTATCTGAGATTATATACGTTTTTGATGGGGTATGTGTTGCATGTTAATATAAATAAGTGAACATTTATTTTACAGAATATGAAGATGGTACCCCCTCACCGACCCCTATAACTCCTGTGAGCAGCACGTCAGCCGACCTTGGGTGGTCTGCATGGAACAATACTGATAAGACACAGAACTTTTCTTTGTAACAGTTAGGTATATAATTAAACAACTGGGCTGATATGCATACATTTTTTGTAAAACCACTTAAGTTAAGATACCCAATCGTAGTACTAATTTATCGTAGGAGATGTAGAAAAATCCGTCCGTTCGGAACAAATCTTTACTTAAGTAGTTTTATGCAAATCAACCCAAGTAATTCTGAACTTGAATAAAAAGAAATGATTCTTGTGGAATTGATTCTTATAGTATAATTATAATGATATAACGTTGTATGATTTGGCTTTGTAAGGGTTTTGATGTCGACCTAACCTGATGAAAATACCTTGTTCTGGTTTGGCCGTACTTTCGGTCCTTTTTTTTATTTTATCAACACTTTAACGTTTGTATAAGTTTTGATGTTCTCAAATATTTTGACACCTAGCACCACATCACATACAGATCCAGTGTCCACTCTTCGCTTACAACGATCTGACAACACCTTGTCTAAGAATTATTATAGTGTGATATATTTGATGTCAAGAGGGGGTTTACTGAAAAGATAATAATGGGGCAATACAACAGAAAAATGTGTAAAGAAAAAAGAAAAAAGAATAATGAGGAGCTTAAATATAAAGAATAAGGAATGATAAGCGAATTTTATAAAGAATATAAAAAAATGGCCTAAACATAAAAGAATTCAGAAATGCAGAAGGTTTGATATGGTAGGATGGTATTTATAAAATGATGGGATGTGGTATGATTCCAAATGAGACAACTATCCACCAAAGTTCAAATGAAGTGCATGTTAGCAATTAAAGGCAACATTACCGCCTTCAACAATGATAAACACCGATACCGTATGGTCGGCTATAAAATGCCCCGACATGAAAAATATGAAACAATTGAGAAAACAAACGGCCTAATTTATAGCAAAAACAAATATGACAGACATGAACCTACGACAACCACTGAACTACAGACTCCTGACTTGGGATATGCACATCAAAAATGTGATGGGGTTAAACATGTTTGTCAGCGCTCAACCTTCCCCCTAACCTGGGACAGTGGTGTAACAGCAAAACATATATGAACAAACTATAAAAATCAGTTGAAAAAGGCTTAACTCATCAGATCGATACAAAGCAGAAAAACATCAAATAAAAACACAGACCGGACGTGGCAGGGTATTTGTCCATTCCTCATCCCTAACAACAACAAAACAAAGTACAGATCTGAGAGTACTCGCAGTTACTGACAGCTAGTTCAAAGCAAATAAGTTATTTTTGGTTTTCAATTGCTTATTTCATTCATATTATTTATCATTTCAGATTGTTTTTACATAGCAAAGATTAACTTGTATAGATTGTCTGCACCATATTGACGACTCTTTTTTCCTTTGTATTCAAAAGTACTGTGTGTAGTCATTGAACATTTTTATTATGATTTAAATAATCATTCAAAGGAAGAAAACAGATTTTCCGAAATTATTCAAGTCGAATTATCGCAACAAATACAGTAAATCTTATGTCGAAATTGAAAGACTGAGATTTTATTCGTGGTATTGAGGAATTATGCATCCTTTTGTCTGACATTTCCATTGAATCGTCAAGCATTTTTCTCTTTTGTCCATACCTTGTCATTTTCTTGACATAATTAATAAACTCCAAAATGTGAATACATCTATAGGGCAAAAAAAAAAAAAAAAAATAATAAAAAAGTACTTACTTGTGTTATACGTTCATGGATTAAATAAGATTTCTATAAAGTCAAGAAAATATTTTGAAATATAGTTTTATACAATCCCCAGTTAATAATTAAATCATTTTGAAATTTTAAATAACTATTATGTCGTTGTTATGAATCATTATGTTTCAATTGCAAAGGACACACTCTGTACGACCTTGTACAAGCTTAAGGCATTGACTGTGGCACGTTTTATAGAATATATGATTGACAATTCTGAATCCGATTACCATCTTATAATTCCTTTGAATGGTTTGAGAATTCATAAATGCACTTTAGCTGTTTTGTTGCTAACGTATTAGATAATAGATAATCTGTTAATGTTGGTCTACAATGGACATATTATATGAATTTGACAGTTGAAGGCTTTCAGTTGGGAATGTCGTGTTTGGTTGTCATCATGTGTGAAATGGCCGTCATGAAACAGATTTTCACTGATATTAATCTCTATATTGTACTTCTTTTGTAGTGTCGTGTACTCGCTCCGCTCCCCTTTATTCAAGGACTTATTGCCAATTTTTCTCATGAATGATCACGTGTATAGAATAAGGATAAGTAACTGCTCACTCGACCGCACTACAAATATACACCCTCGGTTTTAACCTTTAAAGAGTTTTATTGTGTTTTCAATATTTAGTTTTATTTGTTGTTATTAATAATTAATGTTTGCCGTTTTATGCTACAATCGTGACATTTCACACAAAATACACTTTCAGAAAGCACTTTCGTTCATCACTTTGATCTTGGAGTAATAAACACAAAGATCTTTGACAAACGTGATGATTTCAAATTTCCTATTGTCAACACCCCATTATTGCGTAATAAACCTACTACTGGATACAAATATAAAATCGTATGATGGGTGATGCAGGCAAGCAGAAGATGCTTATCCCGTCGACACATCTTGTGTTACTTGAAACAAGTTCTACTTCTTATTTTTGTACGTCTTGAATTCATGATAACTAATACTATGCATTGAAGACCGTAGGTAGGGGTAACACATGTAAATATCAACATATTTCACATCATAACGGACTAAAAATCTCCAAATGTATTGATAAATTTGCTCGAAAATCCATTTAAAATACAAGGAAAATTAATGCAAACGATATTTTTTAGATATCATAAGAGGAAAGAACGAATGCATATGACAGCATAACAATTTTGATATGCCATTAAATGCATGCTACATCATTGATGTCGTACACATGCACGAGCTATAGCTTAAACATATACCACGCCAAACTATAATACGTCCCCTGCGATAACGAAATATAAGAACAGCAACTACAATTCTACTATTTAAATAAAACTAAGTAGTAAACATACATGTAAGCCAAATGAAAACAAAACAGAAAGTAGGACGATGCATTGTCCGATCCTTGCAATGGAAGCATGGATACATGGTCTGTATTTCAAGCAGACTGCCAAAAAAATAAATTAATACATCAAGCATATAATAGACTAGAATGTAATATGTATAGCTAAGCTACCTAAAAATAAGCCAGTAAAATTCAGTGATGAGTCCCTCTACTATAAGTACGAACGATTGTTTTATATAAGTGACTATCCTTTTTCACATTTTTTTTTCATGTAGATACAAATCTTTAAATTTATTTTCATAAAATTATCTTTATTCATTAAGATATCATGTGGAATCGAATTGCTTATATACATCAATAATTGTTTCTTCGAATCACTCATAAGCAAACTGTCTATGTAAAACTAGGCCGTCCTGAAAGGAATTACTGATTTAAAAGTTACTAAAACCTCATAAGTAACAAGCATTAGCATATCCCTCAGTGATAACAACTTGAAATAAATAACTTTGTAAGCTTATTTAACTAGCCGTTGTGGCCATTATGTTCAATGTTTTATTCAACTAATGGCAGTAAATTCTGATTTAGTGTCCTAATCCTATATATACTATAATATTATAACCATTTATTGAGTAAACACGCACAAGAGACATACTGTGGAAGACCTTCATACGCATAAGACGTGACACCGTTATTATTTTCAGGTCAGCAAGACATTATAGTGTAGTAATCTTATACAATGATCGTCCGCTGCGTGGTAATAAAAGGAAGTTTATGGCGCATGCACATTCATAGATCAATGCTGGTGTTAACGTCAGTGAAAAAGTAATCCCCACCCCCCAAAAAAAATATATATATTAAAAGACAGCTGGAGGTCAATATACAATGTACAGTCTTTATTAATAGACAAGTCCGTACTTTGACCCATAATGGTTTACTTTTACAAATTGTGACTTGGATGGAGAGTTGTCTCATTGGCACTCATACCACGTCTTCTTATATCTAAGTATATTCATGATATAGCTCGTAATTATGGTTGTCAACGAGTACTTGAGTGCTTGAGTATGAAATGATACTCGACTAATCAGTTTCCGTCAAGGACATTATCCCCTTCTTTTTATAACATTTTTTTCTCGAGAACACCTCAGTGAATTCTAATCATCTCGCCTTTCTAAATGTATTTCTTTACGATTACAAAATGTAACTGTTGTTTGATCTGATCTGATTTGACTTTGTAATCTTTTTTATTCAATTTTTATTAAATTCTTGATTAGATTTATAATAGTGTTTACTTGATAAGTACATAAATAAAGAACTGCTGAACCAACGCCTCTACAGTTTCGTGTAGGTAGAGGTCCTTGGGATCCAGCTTCTGTTTCCACTTTCTGCTGAAAGACGATATTTTTTGTGAAAACTTAGATAATTTAGTGACATCACTCAAAGTTAATGATAATACCCGAGAGTGATTTATTTACCGTATACTTACATGAGCCCCGGGGTATTAACAATATTTAGAACATACTCACCCCTTCTCGTCCAATGAAAAGTCAGTTTTTTCCTTTCTAATTTTCATAGTACATGGCTTTCCATGCACTATAAAATGCTGTACATGAAAGACTTTTCATTAAAGATTAATTATGAAAGTGAACTCGTAATAACTGCAATAATGAAGTTTACACCCCAGTTCCATTGTTATACTTCATAGTTTCTATTTCTGAAAATAGTGACAATTGAATAGATCTATTGTTACGAATAACAATTGATTTGACCATAGGGTGTGACGAGCGGGGTTTCTGGAAACCACTGCTTCTACATCCCGAAAACAAAGTCCATTGTTATTCACAACAATAGAAATTGATTATTTTTTAAAAAGCATGAACATAAGAAATTACTAATAATGTTCACTACAACTCGTTTCCAGATATTAAAAAAAAACACATTTTAGGAAATTCCAATAGCAAAAAAAAATATAAAGCATCTATTTTGGATAAAAAAAAAAACAAATCCTTTAAATACTCCTTTGCTTGAAGGTAAAATTTTTGATCCCAGTCATACATGTATGTCTCTATTCGAAAGCATTGATCTAAAAAACGGAGATTCTAACTCCCGCGCCAAAATATACTCACTTGTCAAAGTTTGAACGAAGATAGCCAAAGTAAGGTTACTAGTGGGGTTTCGTGTAAAAAAAAATTCTTATAAATCATGATGTTTTGCTATTGTCAATAGATATGCTATCCGCTTTTTTTCTTTCAATAATCAATGTTAACAAATATAGGGTTTAGTATCGGGTGTAAGTTAGTTATACACCTCGAGATACGGCGTGTCTGGATAAGAAACCCCTACGGGGTATCTTATCCAGACACACCTATCCCTCGGTGTATAACTATTACGTACATCCCGCAAACAAAGTCCATTGTTATCCGTAACAATAGAAATTGATTATTTTTAAAATAGCATGAACATAAGAAATTATTAATAGTGTTCACTACAAATTGTTTCAAGATATTAAAAAAACACATTTCATAGGCGGATCCAGGGGGGGGGGGTCCCCCCCCCCCTTTTGTGGGAAAAATTTGGTTGATTATATAGGGAATCATTGAAGCATGACTGGAGCGGCCCCCCCTTAGGTCAGTCAGTGCCCCCTTACAAAAAATTCTGGATCCGCCACTGCATTATAGGAAATTCCAATAGGGAAAAAAATAAGCATCTATTTTGAATACAAAAATAATCGTTTAAATACTCCATTGCTTGAAGGTTATTTTTATTTTATCCAAGTCATATGTCTCTATTCTAAAGCATTGGTCTTTTTAAAAAATGGGGATTCCAACTCCCGGACCCCCCCCCCCCCCCCCCCCCCCCCCCCCCCCGGTTACCCATTGGCCGATCTGGGGGTGGGGGTTCCGCGGTTTGGACCCGACTTTTATTTAAAAGATCAATGCATTTGAATGGTTGGACCCTCCCCTCCTTCTCTTGAGTTGGGAACCCCTAGCTGGATCAGCCCCTGTTTGCCCCCAAAATGGGAGTTCCTTAATATTAAATCTGTATCTTTGTATGTTGAGCGTGTTTGGTAGTCGGGTCACACCTATCCGATTCCCTTAGTATGTCCGAATATGAATGTTTGTTTATTCTCGAGAAGAAAGGGGGGTATAAAACCGTAAGATATAAAATACAGTTATGATTACCTTTATTACACTGATACAGGTAAGTACTTTGGGTTATAATATTGCCTTTTTCCTAAGTCTCTTCTACCAAATCCAACGCTTGCCACAAAATGTCGTCCGTCTAATCCCCGTCCATATTGACAACTGCATACAAGGAGCATGCTGTATTTTTTTGTTTGTAATAAGAATACACGAACCGGTCAACTTTGACCCGCTGATCCATTTTAGCACATGTATTTAAATGGAATATGTAAAACAACTTTGACATTTGTAAAATATACTCACTTGTCAAAGTTTGAACGAAGATAACCAAAGAAAAGTTACTAGTGGGGTTTCATGTAATTAAAAAAAAAATCTTATAAATCATGGTTTGGTATTGTCAATAAATATGCTATCGTTTTTTTTTTTTTTTTCATTTAATAATCAGTGTTAACAAATATAGGGTTTAGAATGGGGTGTAAGTTAGTTAAACACCTCGGGATACGGCGTGTCTGGATAAGAAACCCCTACGGCCGACGGGGTTGCTTATCCAGACACACCTATCCCTCGGTGTATAACTATTACATCCATATCTGAAAGATTTGAGGCTCTATACGAGTGGGGACAATGGATAGTACAAACACATTAGCGGATTGAAAGTAGAGAAGTATTGTATGGCGAAACTAAGGTATGCGTAACACTTGTAAACGTGTATCAGCTTATGGTAGGATTGGATGAAAAATTAACCACAATTGAAAAAGGGATGCTACAAGCTACACAGATCAATAGAACACTAACTACAATTGTGAATAACTTTGGTGAGCTTAAAACGAAAGTAAGCAATGTGGAGTCTGAAGTAAAGAAGCTAAAAAGCAAGTGTGACTCGACCGAATCTGAAATTGCTTCAATAAAGAATAAGAACGTCAATATCGATAGGGACATGATGAAAATAAAGAATGATAACAGCGAGGTAAATAGAAACATGCAAGGACTTAGCGATTTCATGGACGATTTTAGAGCCAAGCATGAGAGTAATGTAAAAGAAGTGAGTGGAATCAGAACAGCGAGGCAGTTAATGACTTTGAGGACATGTCACATGAATTAAAGAAGGAAATAAAGGTTTCGATCAACGAGGTTAAGGAAGAGAATTATGAGCTTAAAGATACCATAATTGATTTACAATGTCGCTCAATGAAAAACAATCTCATTTTCACAGGCCTAAAAGAACCAGAAAACGAAAACACGGAAAATTTGATTCGCG